AAAATGGATGTGGAGGGAAATTGCCAGTTATGTTATTTCCCTACCATAATATCTATTATTATTGATACTGATTCTGTATTGGACACGAGTCTTAGTTATTTATGTAATTGCAAGGAAAACGTACCTCGAGCTAGTGTTATTATTTTGGACATCATTTTTTGTTCTGAGCAAACAATTCAACAGCAGTACAGTGATCATCATCTTCCATCATTCAGAGTTTTATTATCATTGACCTCTGATTCCTTTTGCAGGCCTCATAAATTCTCATCCCTAGTTGGGAAAAATAGGATCATGCTATGCATTATTTCCCCATGTATTATTACAATTCTGTTAGCAGTTTCAGACAAGCTTTATAAAGAAACTATGAGGATCTGGTGATTTGTTGGTTTACCCAAATCATGACCCAAACTGACACAGCTATTTGTGTGCTAATTATCAGTGTGGGATAGATTTTACAAATCATGTTATTTTTTAATTTATTAAGAAATGTATCATTATCAAAGACATATTGTAAGTCAAGCTTATCTTTCTTTCCTAAATTATGGTCAGAAAGGTGGAATTGGTCCTAGGCCCATGAATCAGGTAGAGATGAAGAAAAAAGTCTCTATTTTGTTGAGGTGTTCATAGGAAGAGTTCATTTAAAGCAGAAGTTTTCCTTTCTTTGAGACATATGACTGATATCTGCTGTGATAATTGTCATTTAATGTATAAGCCCTGTACTAGAGAATCCTTTAAAGGCCTGTTTATGTTTGGAAAGAGCCTACAACTTCATGGGACTAGTATTCATATCTTTCATCAACATTTTTTTGGTATCTCACCCTTACTGAAAGGGTCATAATAGAAATAAAGACTCATAAGACAGGCTATAGAAAGTTACTTAAGCTAAAGAGGTATCATGACATTTTCTGTCCCTTGATGAAAAAATTTGTGCATTTGATACTTGATTTTGCTGGCATTTGGGCTGTGGCATATTTAGAAAGTTGATCATGTATCTCACAAGCAATCTTCTGAATACAGGTTTCAATGTGTGAGTATTTCTAGTCTTTCAAAAAAAAATCTTGCTGATTATGATGCATTTATGAAATTAGTCAAATTGCAGTGTTGGCTTAAATGTGTGCAATCATGAAATAACACACACATTTCAGAAATGCAAATCCGAAATTCTGATGTGCTGAAACACTCCACAAAATTTTGTTAGAACTTTTAGAAAAGGAGGGGGGAAAACTCAAAACTAGTTGAATGAATGGAAGAAGATTTATGTATTTGCCCTTTTTTTCCCAAAGAAGGTTTCTTTCTCCTTTGATTACATTGCCACCCATTAAAAAGAAAAAGTTTCTTCTTTGTTGTTTCTTCCTTATAAATAAAGCTTTATGTAGCCCCGACTTCCTTGCAAAATCAGAGCTCTCTTACTTGTCAGGTTTAGCTGTTACATTTTGGGCCTACCTGGTTAGAATTTCTCTCTTTTTCTTTGAGGGCAGGCTTAGCAAAACAGAGAACCCATGTCCCCACCACATTTAGGTGTCTTCTTCCCTTTCAGCAAATCTTTCTTGTATAGCCCAGCATTTCTGATCTTTTAGAGCCCAGTTTTGCATCTCTGTTCATACAATTCAAACAAGTTGCTACCCATCTGTGCTTGCCAATATTGTGATTTTATTATGGATCAGACATTGCAGCATTTGGCTTCTTTTCAATTGATTTGAATGACATGTTCTCCTTCAGTGTTAATTAAAGAAAGAGCTCCAAGATCTAGAAGATAAGACTATAATACTATAATACTATAATACATTTCCTCTAAAATGCCTTTTATGTGATTTTTTTTTATCTACACAGAGATTTCAACCAGAAACATCAAACAGTTCTAACTTGCAAAGTGTTGGAATTTTAGGTCTCTGAATGTTCTTTCTTATGGGATGCCCCCTTTTAGAACTTAAAGATAATCTATCTATCAATTACCTGAAAATTTATGTAAGTTTTATTTACATAAAAGTAAAACATCCTGTTCAGGTTATTTCAAAATTGTTTGTCATTTTCTCAGCATTAGAGATCTGCTGGTATAAACAAAGAGAACATTCTGGAGCAGAGCTGGTCCAGCCAAGCTCATCGCCCCTCTCTATCCCCTGTAGTTTAAGGAAAAGGTTTAATGAAGGAGGAATCTCACAGTATGTTTCTTTATTTATTCCTTGAAATCACATCCAGATTTTATCTCACATTGTAGCTCAGTATCCTCACAATACCAGCCCAGGACAGTTAACTATCGATAGCAGTGTTTTACAGATTTTACAGTGAAAAAACCTCCAAAGATTAGTTTTAAACTGAATAGTTATCACTTCCTGAATTTAATTCTTGCTGCTATTCAATTTAGAAGGATATCATACAGCCTGAATACACTTAGATGATTCTAAACCTTCCTTATGTCAGTATAGCTTGTACCTGTAAAAAAATGTTTATCAGTGTAATGGCAGAAACAGTCCTTTTTAGAACATTTTCTATGTTTCAAAGAGAAAAAATATTGTAATTAAAAATTTAAAAGGGGGTAAAAATTGTGCACTAATGACATCCAAAATCTCTGTAATGGGGAATGGGCAAGCCAAATTTTGCAGATTCTATAATGCAACTATACCATAAAATATGGAGAAAATTGTATAGAATTTCCAAGCCAGTGGAAATACCCCAACACATTTCTTTCCTTCTCATCATCATTATATTATTATAATTTTAAAAACCAGTTTATGTTGTGAACACCTTAAAGGTTAGAAACTTCATTCATTTCTATTCAGGATGTGGGAGAACAAGGTGTAATTGATTTTCTTTAGAAATGGGTCTCAACTTGAGGTGAATGGGATTTCAAACCCTCCCCTAACTTTCACTTGTTTTATTCACTAATTTAGGTGATTGCTTCAACACGTCAAGCATGTATGATAGCCATGAAAAGAGTAGGCTGAAGTGGGGCCGCAAAATGGGGGTGAAATGCTTTTTTTGGGTCTCTGAGTGTGGGTTTTGAGCCACCAAGGCCAGGCAGGAAAGGTGTTTCAGGGGAAGGGGAAGGGTTGGTGCAGAGGTAGCTGAGTGCTGTGCCCTGTGTGCCCTGTCTGTAGGTGTGTGGTGCTCCCCAGGGCTTGCAGAAGGTGCCGTGGTGTCCCTGTGCCCCAGTCTTGGTGGCAGCAGGGGACAAACTCTGCCTCCCTGGAGCCAGCCCCAGGCACAGCCTGGGAGCCCTGCCTGCTCATGGCTCTGAGCAGTTTGCCATGTCCCACAGCTTCCTGATCCCCATAACAGCACAGTGAAGGCTGCAAGCTGAAGCAGGGAGGGCGGCTTTGAATAAATTCTGATAAGGAATGTGGAGGAATAAGTTAGTTCACCCACTGAGCTGTCCCTCTGCATTGGGCTGCTGACTGTCTGATAAAATAGGGAGCACAGTAGCAATTTGTTGAAGTCAATGTTCTAAGGCTTTTAAGAAATGCAAGGAAACAGGCTTCAAAAAGCCATCTATTAAAAGAAAAGAAGTCTGATTCCTTGGGGTCTGAGGAAAGATATGGCCTGAGATTTCTTGTTTTGCATGTCAATTAAATTCTCATTTATCTAGCTGACCAAACACCTTCATCAGACATAATTTCAGCTTGGCTGAAACTGATCAAATAACTTAGGAAATGAGTTTAGTCGATTTCGGAGAGTTTGATAGAAAAATGGAACCACATAGAGCCTAAAGTGTATTAGATATTGTTTCTGTACTGTAAGACTTTCTGGTCTGCCAAGAACAATGTCAGACAGATTTTTCTATACCCATAGCTTCTACACCTGTACCTGCTGTGATGCAGGAAAACCTTACATTTTTAAACCTTTGATAGCTAAATTTTACTTGTCCATCTCTTCTGTACTTTGACAACGTGTGTTGCTTATTAAGGACCTCAGAAGTTGTACCATCTTTTGTTCAGAAGATTCTGTTTAAAAAAGCAATGCAAGTATTTCTGCACATAATTGTTTACTGATCTATCCTTTCAGCATTTTCCTTTACCATTCCTTTTGAGTGGTCTGTTTTTTTCTGGTTTTTGGACGAAATCACCTTCTTCCTGGCCCATCAAAAGCACAGAGCACCCTTCTACTTGTCCTTATGAAAAGCATATCTGATTTTTAGTGCAAAATATGCAAACTTACTTCACTCTCTCTTGATGGTGGTAGCAAAAACAAATTAACAGAAAAATACTTTGATAGGGTTTTGGATTGGACAAAAGAAAACTTCTGAAGAATTAATGGTTTTGTCTGCTGATGGTTTTATAGGTTTGTTTTGCTGATAGTTTACTAGTATGAAAAAGTTGCAAATGAGCATGAAAATGTCCAAAAGTAATGTTAAACACACCACCCAACTGCTCATCCCTTGCAGAAGATATAGTGGGTGTCTGCAGACTTCACACATCATTCATGTTTATCACGTATACAGCAGGACAGATTTATTTATGAACTGGAACAGCTGTTTATGAGAATTTCACATCTTTCATAATGTTTATTTGCCTTTCACCATGGCTTCCAAGCTCTCTCAACATAAAATCAGTAAAAAAACCTAAGTCTGTACAAGAGTTTCTCTGTCTCTTCTACATTTGTTTTCTTAGGTGATGAAAATTTTTTTTAGACTTATTCCATGTTGAAAAGTGTCAGCTATGGGTAAACATGTATTAAAGTTAAAAATGTTACAGGAAAAGCTTTTCCCAGACAGAAAACACACAGAAAAATAAAACAGTTATGATGTTTAGATGAGTCTACAAAACTTAGTCCAAAATTCCTGAATTTTGTATAATAGTTCTTTTATACACTTTCATTGCCATAAAATCTTTATAAGGGATACAAATGGCTATTTTATGGAGTGCTCAAAAGCTTTATAAAAATTATTTTCAATTTTAATTATAATTTATTTTCATTTACAATTTACTTTCAATTATGATTAGTAAACCAGTGTTCTGTTCACTTACTACATTGCTTTGTTTTGCCTTTCTTTTCTTGTCAAACAGGTGTGTTTTATGAAGTTGTTCAGAGCTTCCCTCGAGTGGAGGAAAATGTGGAGGTGGATTCATTTGTAAGCAGCCACAGGTGGAGAAGGCACTCAGAGTCCCTCAAATCCGTGGACACCAACAGAGCCAGCATGGGGCAGGACTCCTTGGAGCCAGGGGGTTTCACAGACCTGCTGCTTGAAGAGGGCCATGACAACACTACGCAGATTGAGGTAGATACTCATTTCATCTAATTCATTTTGTTGTCTTTGACTTGGGGTAAGTAAAAAATTTGGACATTTCCTTGAGGGTATTGAAACACTTATGGGGAGGAGAACCTCTGGTCTTTGTGAACCTATCAGCACATGGAAGCTTGAGTTTTGTCCTGAGGCAGGAGCTTGTCCTTTATGACTTTTGAAGACAGTCTGTCAAGGATGTTTGCTATTTTGATGGAAAACAGTTAAGGGAACTGTTTTAGCAGCTATTGCTGCAAAACTGGAAAAGGAAGTAGTATTAAAACAGAATAAAATTGAATTCTTTTTTGTAATTGATGTAAACGCCTCAATTTGCAAGACTTTGGATATCTTTGGATATCTTTGGATACCTGGATATCTTTCTGGAGAGTAATATCCAGGCACAAAGGGGAAAAGACCCTAGAGAAATGAAAAATTGGAAGAGAATTCAGGTTGGTGATTGAAAAAAATGGCATACTTTTGATTTTTGGTCTTCCAAAGAATAAGATGGATTGAGTCCATCTTTGTGAAGCCTTGGGACATTCTCCCTCTGCTTTATAGTGTCATGCAACCTCTAATTTCTTATTTAGCTGCCAGATTGCTCTCTGTCTTGTTTTCTTTGGTTCTTTTGTTGTTGTTGTGGTGGTGTTTTTAAAGTATTTATCTTGGGGGTTTCCTGTTAATAAAATCTGCATCCTGTTTTTCAATAAAATACAATTTGGAATAAACTACACTTAATATCTTCAGTCATTATAATCTGTTTCCAAAACAACAGTGTTGGGGTTTTTTTCAGTTCCAAGAAGCTCACTCTCAGAGAAAAAAATGCAGATTTCAGATTTTGGGTTGTTACTCACACAATAAAAAAACACAATGCAATATAAAACCCATCTGTAGAGACAATGGAAACTCTACTGCATGAGCAAAAAAACAGTGCTTTCAGAGAGGTGTGTTTTGTGCTTGTTGTTTTAAGGTTTCCAGTTTGCACAGCACTAATTACACTTCCTCTTGTTCCAACATGAAAGTCACTGGTTGGTAAATTGTAGTTTTGAATTTCATGTTGATTTTTTAACTTCCTTTTTGCCTCGCGTAATCCCCATCTGCCCATACTTGTAGCAATTATTTTGGGCTACAACACAGATCAGTCTTGCTTCTAGTTATTTTAGCAGGAAAAGAGCAAGCTGTCTCAGGTTCATGAAAGTTTTAGTAACTGATCTTTCCGTGGCTCACCCCATAGATCCCTATGCAATATTTCCATTCAGTTGGGTTCCAAGCTCTTATGAAGCAAAATGATCAGATGCCCCCCTCTAACACTTATTATAGCAAGACTTGGGGAACAAAAATGAATGCTTGCAAATCGATATACATAGATTGGTATTTTTCCAGGAACATCTTTTCTGACAGGTTAATGTCTTTTGAGTGTCTTAACCTGAAAAGTTTATTGAATTCAGGTTTTGTGTTCTGTTGCAAACCTCTTTTTTCTAAGGTCTTTTCAGCACAATAAGATAACGGAGTTGTGGTTTTACACATTATCGGATTCCATTGAATATCCCCACTACAACACAGAGGCATCTCACAAAAAGCCCCTTGATGCCTGGCCTTATGGAGGAGGTAGAGTATACAACAGAAATCCATGGAGGAAGAATCCATATGTTGCAGTCTTCTGCAGCTTGGCAGCTTATCAGCAGGACTGGAGAGCTTATTGATTATTTTAAATCCTTGTTCTGTGCACATCACAGTGCTTGCTAAAGAAAATCCAGAGAATAAGCATTAGCTGCCACTTACATTTAGTGATGCTACAGGATGATGACATCCCTCCTTTACAGATACTGTTTTTTACAGATACTGTTTTCTCTAAGTGTTTCGTAGGCTTACCATGCAAATGCAGGCTTCTTTAAAATGAAGACTGACAGTGATGAGCATGTTTTCAATTGATAGTATTTGCTGTCCTTCTTTATAATATGAGTTTATTTTCTCTCCAGCTTTATAAACCCAAATCCTTTCTCTCTCACCTCTATCCATCTTTTTTTTTTTCTTTTTTTTTTTTGGCAAAATCCAAACCAAAACCCCAAAATCAACAACAAAACCAAAATGAAAAAAAATAAACAAACAAAACCCACAAAAAAACCCCAAAAACCAAAACAGCCAAGGAAAAAAGGGAAGACAGTAGGCAGAAATTTCTGGACACAATTTAAAATTAAATGTTACTTGAGTTATCAATCCATACAGTCATAAGGTAAAAAGTGATAAAATCAAGCCTGTGTGGAGCAGAGCTTAGTTCCACTGGATTGCTGTTTATTTTAAGATAATGACACTTTTGATTAATTTTTTCCCATTGGAGTTACTGGAATTGTTCTGTAACTTCACTGGATCAGCCATCAGCCCTGATCTTGTGGATATTTTAACATCAGCTTGAGTGGGAGCATGAAGTGCAAATCTTCTAAAGCTCTTCATGCAAGTGCATTGTAGATTGGTTCATCACACCTTTCCAGTAGTCGGGGTGGGCCTCCTCCTCTGCATGGGAAAGATGATAATGGTGAGATTCTCTTTAGGGTGCAGCCTCTCTGGTCCAAAAAATGGAGCAGTAGAGGCACCAGGGAGCCCTGGTGTCTCTCTTCACATCTCTGTTTTGTCTCCTGCATTTGCTTGGCACTGTGATTCAGGAAAGAACTCATACAAAATGATATACACATTCATGTGCCTTTTTTAAGATAAGCTGTTCTCTTGAACTGGTCTTTAACTAAACTACAGAGTCTAGAAGTAGTGGTTATAATAATTTGATGTGCTGGGCCTTCAGAAAAGAGCAGGGTCTGGGGAAGAAGAAGATAAGACCTCCAAGTCCTGTTGTTTTGCTGGAGAATAGGAATGTTGTGGTGCCACAAACCCACAAAGATGGATGTTGCCAAAAGAAAAGCAAAGGACATAAACAAGTTTTTGCTGCATGCCAGATAGGAACCCTGATGGCTAACTATAAATGATAGGGTAAAATTAACATATAACACTCTTAAAGCAGTACTACTATCTTGAAAGTACTCCTCCTACTTTAGAAGGATTATTATGTGTGCCAATTAGAGATTATAATGTTGCAAGTCCAAAAAGCCTCCCAAGGATGGAGGTTAGTCCCATTTGCTCTATTTGCAATTGGTACTCTAGAGCTCAAAGGCAGAGTAGGGTCATATTCTATAAGAGACTTATTATGTTTTCATTCCCATTATATCAAATAGCTAAAGAGAGAGAGAGAGAAAGCTCTTAGGAGGCCTAAAATAGTGACATAAAAAGAGTGAAATCTATACAGATGGGTGCAAGTGTTACAGTCTGAGAGAAATTCCCAAAGCAGATAGCCTTGGACAGGTAAAGCAATATGCTGTCAGACATCTAACCCAACTGTAAGGGACAGCCCCAAAATACAGTGTTCTGGTGATGCACTGCACCAATTTGTCTTCTTGGCTTCATGGCAAATGAGAGTTTCATGTCTCCATTGAAGATAGGAGCATCTATGGCTAAGCCATATTTCTTCCCAAGGGTCACAAAGCCAAACATTAAAGCCCTCTGCCTGGAATAACTTTGGGACTGTCAGAATTCTTCTTTCTAGAAATTTTGCTTTTCAAATTTCTGAGATTTCACAATATCATGATTTCAAGACTAGCTTTCCTTTTTTTTTCTCCCATCTATCTTAAGATTCTTCTCTCCTGTTTTAAGCGTCAGGGTTGTTTTGAGGTTTTGCTTGTTGTGTAATCTACTGCTTTTGTTTATTGGGCTCAGGACATTTAGAAGTGCCTTTTACTTATGATAAATAGAGCTTAGGAAATGCAACGTGTCAGGTGGAATTTGTTGCTGGAAACACTGTAAACCACTGTAAACCTTGTAAAAGCAGTGAGTGAAAATACATCTTCCTGAATATGCATAGTTTGGCATGTTTTCTTTCAAGCAAGGGCAAAAATAAGATAAATATACTATGTTTCTGCATATATCCTTGTAAAATAAAAGTATGCTCCATAATCACTCACTTTTATTAAGTAGATTAGTATCAATATTGTTAAAATAAACTCAACTTCATGGTGATGATGTGACCAGTTGTTCTGTTAATCCCCAAAGGCCTGTGGCCATACAGATAATGAAGGTGGATATCAGAGGTTCTTTCTGCCTGTTTGCTTTTTGCATTACTGAGAAAGCAGTTGATCCCTGAAATGAATCTCCTATGGATACTGCTTGCCCAGTATTCACCACTAAAGGATCCACAAATGCTTTCCTGTTTTGTCATAGTACTTGCTAATGCAGGTCTGGCTACTGAGAACTGGAAAAGGCTTAATAATTCAATAATATACAACTAATGCATTAATATACAGTTGTATATTGCACAAATGTTGCATGATAATTTTTCCATAGATTAAAATGTGCATCATTTTTCAAGTGATTTCCTATAGTTTTTGGCTATGTGTGGCTCCATTCAGAACAGAATCTCTCTCTCTGTATGTATAGCTTTGGTCTCTTTATCACAGATCTTCCTTGTGACTGCAGTCACACCAGTGCAGGGTAAAACACTGGCAAGAAATATACAGAGAAATTGAATGGAGAAGTGTCTGATATATAGCTTGCATTCTCATGAGCAGAAGGTGAAAAACTTTGCAGAATAACTTTAGATCATGTGAATTACTTTCGAATTTGTTGCCTCTGTATAGAGATACTACATCAAAACAATAGTCTTTCACAAACTTCAAATACCAAAAATAAATCCAGCAATAAAATAATAGATTAAATCATAGTCAAGCTTGAGCTGAGTGCAGTAAAGTTTTATTGCTTTGCACCAGCAAAAATGTGAGGAAAAACATAATTTTTCATATAAAGTCTTAGAACAGAAAGAATGATTGCTGCTGTATGACAGAAGATTCAGTTCTGAGCAAGGACTAGCATGCTAAATCAAACCAAACTCAACTGTATCTTATTTTCTCCACCCCACCTAACATACTACTTGCAAGCATAGAAAATTGAGGCTGTTTCAGTGC